ATCGCGTTCAATAGCACAGGAAAGCTAGAAGGTGTGTGCCCGCGTGAACGTTCCATGGAAAAATACTAGCCACATCAAGTGCTTACACGAGTGACTGTCACACAGCAACGAGAGTAGTACGATGTAGTACTAATCACACTCGTTTCATGACAATAGGACCGATGGTCATACACTCGTGTTCATAATTCCTTCTCGCCGTCGTCGCAGTACTTGACATCGTCGTCGTCATTGCAGTCATTTGTAGTCACGCTCAGGAGATTGTTGGCCTTTATCGGTGCATCAACAGTTAATAGTCGTGATTATATAGTTCAACAGGGTTGTGTGAGTCTGCCAGTATCGAAACCATTTCCATTTCCGCGGTGTACCGAATCTCATGACATGCTGCTTAATGGTGGGGGCGATCCCAGGAGCTCGAGCACTACATGCTCCAATCGAACTGGTCCGTGTGGCCCTCGGCATTGGCAGATTGGCGTGGCGTAGCTCATCAAGGCACCTTCGAGCTAGCTCCAGAGCACTCTCACCATGAGCCAGAAGCCTTTACTTCTGACGCCACTTTCAGGCCATCTATCAGCTCTTTCACGAGCGCTTCGGTGTCGAAGGTGCAAACCTGAAGTCGGGAAGTCTTGCCGAGCCAAATCTCTGTGCAATGTCGCGGAGTCCCCAGCAAGCCAGCGCAGACTTAACGATTTGCCAACGAGCCTCAAAGCTGAGTCCCCAAGTCCGGAAGCCTTCCGTGTAGCCTGCATTGCTGTTCCACACAGGCCTCAATCGCCTTGAGCGCGGCTATGCAGTCAAGGCCGGGACCCTGGAAGCGACGAGCATTGGCTTCACAAGAAGTCGATGCCGATGGTAGAGCAAGCAGTTGTCAACTATGCATCTTGTGTTGGATGTGGCTGGAATTGGCCAGGGGCTTGTGTGATTGAGTGGTCCAGAAGGCTGAGGATTGTTATACATTGTGTGCTGGACATGGGAACCTGTCTGGGGGAGTCTAGGCTGAGTTTTGCCCTTTGATTGCGAGCTTGGTAGAAAGAGTGCTGACGCTGTGTGTGGCGAAGAACTTGCATGGACTTCACTCTGTGCAGCGTGTGCAGATCTTGAAGTGCACCCATCCCACATAGCCAGGAAGCCTTACCCCAGCCCCGAATTCTGAATCCAAGTTGCAAGCCTAGGACGCTGACGTTGAAGCCAATGCATGACTTTTGAGCCAGGCCGCTGTGGAAATGACGCTCAGCATCGTAAGCAAGTGCTTTGCTCTGCTACGCAGCGATCCGAACGGCCGTCTGTGTCTGGGCCAAATTTACCGATTTTTTTGAACTTGATGTTAGGGCCGTTACGCAGATTTGCAGGTTCCCGAAACGCTCATGGATGCTCATGGGGTTGGGGCTCAGACTCTGAGACCTGGGCTAGGGCTAGGAGGTTCGGTGTTGCTTGGTGCCTGCCTTTTGGGGTGAATGGTGTGGCTTCGGTAGCCAGTGGTACGGCACTCCGCTTGGAGAGTGGCTGCAGCTCACCGCTCTCTTGAGAGCAGCTCTCGTTGTTGCTCGGTTTCATCAGGCACTGCACGCCGCTGCACATTGCAGCCTTGCAAAGCAGCGTCGAGGTGCTTTCTTTTCGGAAGGTAGGACGAAGATCGGGGGTTTCGGCTTAGAAACTCTCCGTCAGGACTTTGGAGAGTTGCCATGTCAACTGTGAGTCACACGCTCCGGTATCACTCGCGGATCTCGTAAACATAAACAAATCTGTGCGCAGCGTTCTGCGAGTGCAGGCTGCAGAAGTCATTCTCCGAGACTCGCCGCAACTGGTTGCAAGGACCCCGCGACAAAGCCATGTCCTAAAACATCCAAAAGCCAAGAGAGGGACAGCCGGACTTCGACCCAAAGCACAGCGAGCCCCCACCCCGTTACGAGTAGCAAAGTGGGGCCTGCCAGGACGCACAAGACGTCACCATCCGCCCTTTGCCCCCTCCACATCGCAATCCTCTGCGGTATCAATCCCATCGTGGAGCTGCTTCTGGATGGTAAAGCCAACCCCAATGTACCTCGCTTCACATAGTTCAGTTTCTGGCTTCTGGGTTTCACGTCTGCCTCTGTGACCCGGGATCCATGTAGCGGCTGTAGCGTGCCTACTCCGCCCGATGAGATGCTGCGTAAGCACCACGGAGTACATGCAGCAGATACGTATTCTGAGAGCTAAGCTTTCAATGAGGCAAGACTCTCCGCACCAAAAGCAGCAGTGTCAACTAGCTCACCAGCAGAGCACTCATTACCGACCCTGGCAGCAGCGGAATCGATTGCAGGACCTCAGCATCAGGTGCAGTATAGAGTCTGACCCTTGCAACCATCAGGTCTAGTGGGTGTGTCGGCGACATTCATTATGGCGCATCTGTTAGCATCTTCAGTGAGTCGAACCGTCACAAACCTTCGTTTCGCGAGTTCTGTTGAGTCACGTATCTTAACAAGGCCTGCAGGGGTCTAAAGGCTTGACTGCACGGCTCCGGACTCAGGTGCGGACACTACATGATGTCACTCCACTTCATTTGGCAGCAACGACATCCAAGGATCTCGAAGCCCTCAAGTTTGATTCGACTTACAGTGGACTCCAGGAAGTTGGAACATGAATTCAGGATAATTCGTGTTGGGATTTCTGCTTTACCTTCAGGGCATAAGGATTATAACGGTTTAACTTTCTGGTCTCTACTGTACTTATTCCTGCTGTAGACTGTAGACATTGACACTGATCTGCGGTTAGTCCAAAAAGCAAGCTTCAGATGCCGCCAGGAGCTTTGTCAGCTCCTGCTGGCATATGCCGCGGAGCCGACACAGCATGACGTGATGGGCAACTTGCTTGCAGGAATGCATGCTTGGGATCATATCCACGCCAGGAAAAGGTTTCTTGTGCCCCGGTAGCATTCCGCTTCTGCACGCAACCGAACCTCGAAGACGGCCGATACACCTGGCTGACTGGTATAGGATTGTCCCGTGGTAATGTGGGTCGAAGTGAGAGCCTTCCTTTTTGTCAACCGTAAATGGGTTCGTCCAACCCACGACGACCTGCAATTTGAGGTTGCAACGCACTCCACTATGCCAGAAGCTTACAACGGTGGATGGCTGGTCAGTGAACTCGAAGTGTAGTGTTGGCTTGCAGCCTTTCGCAGTGAAGAAATTTCTGGAGAGGGCTTTCCGCAGCTTTCGTGATTTTGGGAGCCCTGTGTCGCTTTCCCCTTGTCTTGGCTGACCAGTTCGCGAACTAACTAGCCATACGTCTAGGCTTTCTTGCGCAGAACTGGTGCATGCGCAGGCCGCTAACTTCAAGCAGCATGAGGTCGTCGAGGTGTTGGCCGCCGCCCCTCAGGCGCTGCACTCGCTGCTCGCAACGCCAGAAGCTTGTCAGAAACTCACGACAATCCGCACTTCGCGAGCAGTATGCGAGCTTGACTGACAGAGGGCGTCCCTGCAATGCCTCGGAGCCTCCTAGGAACAAAACTTTTGTATCGTTGGACAGGCTGCCCGCTTGGCTGCTGAAGGTGATCAGACGCCCCGCTGGGATTGTTGCATTGTAGAGTTCAGGGTTCGAGGGTTCAAGCCTTCATGCGTCGAGGCTTTGTTTTTTCGGGTTTGGGGATGCCTGGTGCTTAGGTCACTTCAGCTGACGTGGTAGAGGATGGCTTTTCACCCCGAAACATACCCCCGAAACTGCTGGCATGAATGTGGATGTGCTGGCGTGGACGTAGCCGGGTGGACGTTGCGATGCGGGCCCGCCTGCAGGGTTGTGTCCAATGGTATGCCGGGTGCACCAATATCATCCTGTGCCGAGGTTTATGCCTGTATATACTTACACATTTTTCGTTCGCATGCGTAGAAAGTAGAAATCGCTAATTACACAACCTCAGAAAGCAAGCAAAAGCCTTTATTCATGGAGCAAGCCGCCGCAAGGAAACGCGTGACGCCCCTGCATATTGCTTGTGCCCTTTTTTCCGGCACTGCCGCGCTTGGGTTGCAAGCTGTCCTGGCGATTGCGGGTTTTCGCTCGCAGAATTGAGCGGGGATCTGCGATTTTAAGAAGCGTTCAGATCTTGGGCTTCATTGAAAGTTTTAGGGTGTTATCGATCATTGAAGGCATTTTTGAGCTCAGGTTTCGGTCTCGGGGCTTTTCGGTCCATTTGTTGGGATGGCCCGGCATCAGGATTCGAGTCAGGAGGATTCAGGGGCTCAAGGCGCTTTCGCTATCGGTTTCCTCCTTGATGACATACAGCTCGCTTTGATCAGCAAATCTTCGTATTGTTGCGGCATTTGTCCCCGCAACGCCCAAAAGGGCCGAAATGACAAACAACAAGCTTTTCTGAAATGATTCGTCACAACGTCCTGGATCCTGCACTGGCCTACTTCTTCAGTATAGCCAAGGACTTGCCGACGCCAATGCGGCTCCTGGCGCTGGGTGCCAAACCGTGGCAGGCAGACGTTGCTTGGCCTTTCGAGCTGCTCAGAGTTAAAGGGCCTCTCGTGTTGGCTTGCCGCCGCTCTTTGAAGCCTGCCGTGGCTTCGACTCGAGACAGTGAGGATGTAGATCAGATTCGCTGAGTTCGTTCATTATGGAAATTGCCACGGACTGTGTCATTTATCGAGCCCGACTCGAAGGGGTCTCACACGTTGCCAATGGGCTTCGAGATCGCAGAAGACTGGCTATACTATAAGCTCCTGTATGGGCCATGTGTCGGATGCGCACCGTGATGTCAGTCTTCAGATTTGCGCAGTGAAAAACCGGAGCCTTTTTTGCTTGAGAACCTTGACAAGGCCTCGTGCAAGGCTCACCTCAGCTCTCCCCGCTCCACTGTAGAGAGTCCTCTGCTCTGGCTGAGGTGTCGGGCTCCTCTGCGCGGGACGTGGTGCCCCTCGGCTGGTCATGGCAGTCCGGGGCCAGCGAAGCGATTCGAAGCACCTGCGCCGAGCAATGGGCCGGGCTCCTGTCGGCCATTGAGGCCTTACGTGTCCAATAGCGAGCTCATGAGATTTTTTGAGAGCTGTGGAGACAGCTCGAAAGCGCCCCGGTCGCAGACAACATGTTGTTGCATGTTAGAGCTAGAGAAACCAGCTGCGTGCCGCTCATTGCATGCAACCGTCGCATAGTCAAGTCTGTTAAGGCAGCAGCACAATCTTGGCTGGAGGACTGCCGAAAGTCTTGCAGCATGTAGCCGATTGATACCCACTGCCAAATGCAGGACTTCCTTGTCAACAAGGGAGAGCAATCTTCGGATGCAGATGCAGACCCCTGGGAGGATGCAAGCACGATTGCTTGAATGGTGAATGGCAGCACCAGGCTACAAAGGTATGTCGCATCGACCTATACATTTGTTGTGTATGCGTGCACAAAATGTATGTGCAAATGCAAAAAGCACACATTGACACACACACACACACACACACACCTGCGCGAAGCCTGTATGCCGACTGCTTTAGGTCCAAGTACAGCTCAGACAGTGCATCTCGGTATGTGCACTAGCATGCATACCTACATCAGCGCATGTACATGCTACTTGACCGACATCCTGACGCTACTGTCTTCGCAGCTGGCCAATCATTCGCTGCGTCCCCTCACTCCTCCGAAAAGTAGCATGAGGAGGATGAGACGCCGACGGCGTCCAAGAACCTGGAGGCCTTCGCGGGCATTCCGACACCCACGGCGGTGGCCAGCAGTGAAGAGAAAGGCTCCTCGGCAGGGGTGTTCGAAACTTCAAGGTGTTCTCGGAAAGGCTTTTGAGATGAGCAGAGCTCGATGGAAGTGTAAGAAGGTCTTTCAGGTCTTGTTGCGTAAAGCAGCAGTCTTTTGTGCCGATGCGGAAGTTGCAAAGTTCGGCTTCAGAGAAATGATTTCCCTCGGAGCCAGGCTGCAACACAAACTTACTTCGTGCAGGTTCCGAAGCCCGGGTCCTGCAGGAAGAGGTCGAGAGGCCCCAGGGGCGACCGGTTGGGTTTGGGCTTCAGAGACTGGCGGCATCAGAACTTGCGTTTTTTTTGCGCAGCCTCCTTCAACATTTATGCAAGCTGCATGAATCCTACTTGTAAGGAGGGGTTTCGGGCTTGGGAACGGAGACTGGGCGATCAACTGCAGAACTTGTCAACGACGGAGCAGAGTCAAAGGCTCGACGGGTTCAGGCCACGGGTCATGTGAAGAGGACAATCATTTTCTGCTTGCCAGCCTAGACCCGAAGCCGTAAAGTGCTCTGATCTCTGTGGGCACCATACCCCGAAGTGCTATCATGCTAGACTGTGCCTGCAGATCACAACCCTTTCCCTACCAGAACTGGCCAGCAGGCAGTTGCAGCATCATCATCGCCACCGTTGTCATTCCTGATCATGCTTTCGAAGAAGCAATCATTGACTCTCCGAGTTCGGGGAGCGAACATATGGCTTGAGGCTGAAAGCTGCCTTGGACGAGAGCCAGAAGAGGCTGCGAAATGGCGTGCTTGTGATGTCTTGGATGTGAGACCGAAAGTTTTTCGCTCGCATTGTGAGGCGGCTGCGGCTAGCTGTGTTGATTTAGCCAGGTCGTTGGTTCGGGGTTGATGGGGTTGCTGAAGTGGGTCGTAGTCACGTGGAGAAGCCAAGCTGCAAGAGGCGAGGGAGCTTGTGGGATGACAGGTGCTCGGAGCTGGAGCCTTTGGCCAGACAGCTTCAGCACAGCCAGGAGAAGGCCACGTTGCTACATCGTCAGAGTTCGGTTCTGGGGGCGACAAGACGGCATCAGACAGCAGAGCCACATAAGGCTGTTGTGACAAGTCGAGCCTTGTCCGGCTGTTCACGGTCTGAGCAAGTGGAACGACAATTTGCTTAATTACTGTGGGCTCCTTTTGTTTCATCGCGACGCAAAGGCTGCTCGGTGTCGACGGGAAGACATGCTTTGATTGTGGATTGGCGCCGCTGGAACGGTTGCATCGGGGTGCTTTTCTGTTCTTGTAGAGTCAACAAGCAGCCAGGTTTGGCTCGGCTGCAACAGACCAACAGCGCATGCCAATGATGCTTCCTCTAGTGATGCTACCCTGCATGCCGGAGGGCTTGGGATGGAGTGAGAGATAGAGAGATCCTCAAGAGCAGGTTAGAAGACCAAGACATGCTAATCATCCATGTCTGTTCTGGTCTTTGATGTAGGTGCTTGCAGTGAAGGTTGCTACGTAGTATACCACGGTACCATTGCATCGCATGGTATGACGGGCATCAAGTCCATCTCCTCACTGCCATAGCAACCGCATTTATCGTCGACCAAGCCATGAAAAAGGCGAACTACCATGACCCCGACACCAAGCATACCGACACACGAATCTCAGTGCAGGTTGAAATGCTCGAGCAAGCCGCGAGGCCTTTGATCCGGAGCATGAGGGTCTGGTGTTGCAGGCTTCTCTGGGTGTTCCACTGTTCCACAACCGACATGTGACTCGGGTTTGAGGTGGCTTGGCAATCATCGATATCCTTACGAGTGGTCTTTCATACTGTAAACCATTCACAAGAAACATAAGGCTTCAGGCTTGTAAGAGCTTGCAAGGATTGAATGAAAAGCTGCTAAACGCTCGTTTGGCCATTCGGTCGAGCTGGCACCTTGAAGAAAGGCGTGCTACAGCTCCGGAGCTATGAATGTTCGCGTCGTTTCGTCGTTCCTGTCATTGTTCCCAGATGCGAGCCGCAGTGCGGCAGTCTGCAGTGGAAGCGATCTGGTCAGTCGGCACGTTTCAACGATTGCGCCGGGGGGATTCCTCGAAGAAGCTGCCAGGAACCAGCAGCAGGTCTTCCAGGCGCAAATGGAGCTTGTGGACAATGTGCGGAGCCAACACCAGGCGCAACTTCACAGATTCTTGAACCGTAGCCTCCCGAACCCGAACCTTCAGCTTCAGGTTGAGCTTCGTGGTTCGGAAGCCTTGAGTCTGCTGGTGGTGCCGGTAGCTGGCAATAATGGAAGCCTGATCGGTACAAAGTTCTACAACCGGCCAAGGTTTCCTGCGTTAGAGCCTTTAGAGCTTTGGGATTCCTTCACTTCTGTCAAGCTATGTGGTGCGGGAGCTCGAAGCTCTCACTGGCTTGTAGTCCTGAGGGGTTTTGCCACAGCATCGTGAAAGTTTCGCGGCACTAGTCCCCGAGCTCTGTGAAAGTCGGATCGCACGCTGCCACCCCCAACAGCGGCAACTCCGCCTGCAGGTGCAGCTCCAGGAGCCTGCCGGCAAGAACAGTTGCGATTCAATCGCTTGGGTATAAGTGAGAGCAGCTGCCAGTTCCGTCGTTCGATGAAGTCTTGTGGTTCGGCGTACAACGACTACTACCTACCACCCAGTTACTACCACCGTAATGCTTGGGAGAAGGAGCTATTCAATTACTCCTGACGACTAACAGGCAAGTTAGTTTACAGACAAGTGCATTGTGTACAAATGGTTGAATTCGTTTCCATGGGTTCGTCGGTCGCAGATAGGTACGTATCAACATAAGTATATATATATACATACATATACAAATTGAATGTATTACATAAGCATACATATTTAAAAATATATGGTACATACATACATACATACATACACATAGACAATGACATGCACATGGTCATATATCTGCTTTTTTGCACCCACGCACACATACATATTCCTATATAAACATATATACAGACGTATCTCTGTCTCCGTCTCCAAACGTGTGTGTGTGTGTGTCTGTGTCTGTATATAACTTAGCTGTGTATATTCTCTCTATGTATGTATGTATATATATATATATAGATATGTATCCAGTTTCGAGTCCTGTCTACTTAGACTTCTACTTATGCAGAGATTTGTGCAGAGACGAGCACACATTCAAGCATGGTCGTGTGCCGGTCAGCAATTTCGAACTTGGCGGTTAACCAGGTCCACGCTAGCATCGCAGACGTTGGAAGATGTCAACATCGGTGAGTGCCATCAGCACCATCTCATCGCCATCATCACCAGCTGTATATGAGCATGCCGCTTGGTGTGCTCATTGCAAAGCCCGAGCACTGTCTCCAAAAGGCGGTTCTGCTCACATCCTCGTTGGCCTATCAGGTGTTGCCAGCTCGAAGATCAGAGGTTGCTCCATTAGCATTTCGGGGCATGCGCTCAAGCTTCCTGGTGAGGGGCTTGCGCAATTCTTGAACCTGCAAAGCTAGAGGGAGGTTGCCTCCAAGGATCCCAGCGCTTGGGGAACAGTCGGTAGACGAAACATTATATATGGTGCATTACATGCAATGTAGTGTCCTTGACCATTGATGTTTTGAAGCTTCGCTTTTCCCGACTTTCGCCAGGACATCCGAGAGCGGAGTGAGGCGGAGCGACAGCTCCTGGCGGAAAGAGCAAAGGCTGAGGCCGAGGCCACTGGGCTGCGGCAAAGAATCGGCGTGTAACTCTGGGGCATAAGTCCAGCCGGGCCTGGTGCCTGCGCCCAGGTGAAGATCAGAGAGGTGCAGCATGAGGCATGGACTGTATCCGAACAGGAGTTAGCTGAGCTGGCTTATTGATTTCTGAGCATAGCCTTCTGGATGTGGTTTTGTCTTCGAGCCTCCAGCCAAGTGTCCAAGATGTTAATCCCGCCCGGTCGCGGGATGCCAGGCCTCTCTGAAGCAGCGCGAAGCAGAACTACGCTTGGCCGAGTTGCAGGTGGGGATTTTTTTAATATACTCGCAGCATTGAATACAGAGCCTCCACCTTTTAGTTGGGAGAGGTTTCAGAGACTCTCAAATGGACCCTGTCCAAGCATGCCCAAGTGGCGTCACCACCAACAACAACGAAAACATCAACATCACAGCAACATCATCAACAACAACCGCAACAACAACAGCAGCAACAACAACAACACCTACTGCTGTATTACTGTACAACTGTACAGCTGTACTACTACTACTACTACTACTACTCCTACTGCTACTGCTACTGCTACTGCTACTGCTACTGCTACTGCTACTACAACTGCTACTGCTACTGCTACTGCTACTGCTACTGCTACTGCTACTACTACTACTACTACTACTACTACTGCTACTGCTACTGCTACTGCTACTGCTACTGCTACTGCTACTGCTACTGCTACTGCTACTGCTACTGCTACTGCTGCTACTGCTACTGCTACTGCTACTGCTACTGCTACTGCTACTGCTACTGCTACTGCTACTGCTACTGCTACTGCTACTGCTACTGCTACTGCTACTGCTACTGCTACTACTACTACTACTACTACTACTACTACTACTACTACTACTACTACTACTACTGCTACTGCTACTGCTACTGCTACTGCTACTGCTACTGCTACTGCTACTGCTACTACTACTACTACTACTACTACTACTACTACTGCTACTGCTACTGCTACTGCTACTGCTACTGCTACTACTACTACTACTACTACTACTACTACTACTACTACTACTACTACTACTACTACTACTACTACTACTACTACTACTACTACTACTACTACCTACTGCTACTGCTACTGCTACTGCTACTACTGCTACTGCTACTGCTACTGCTACTGCTACTGCTACTGCTACTGCTACTGCTACTGCTACTGCTACTGCTACTGCTACTGCTACTGCTACTGCTACTGCTACTGCTACTGCTACTGCTACTGCTACTGCTACTGCTACTGCTACTACTACTACTACTACTGCTACTGCTACTGCTACTGCTACTGCTACTGCTACTGCTACTGCTACTGCTACTGCTACTGCTGCTACTGCTACTGCTACTGCTACTGCTACTGCTACTGCTACTGCTACTGCTACTGCTACTGCTACTGCTACTGCTACTGCTACTGCTACTGCTACTGCTACTGCTACTGCTACTGCTACTGCTACTGCTACTGCTACTGCTACTGCTACTGCTACTGCTACTGCTACTGCTACTGCTACTGCGACTGCGACTGCGACGGCGCCTCAGACGACAACGACGACAACAGTTATCACACAGCCAGCAAATGCGGCACTAGATCTGGCGCCATGATATTTGTTTCCGATCAGGCTCAGCTGCAGCAAGCGAGCCAGGAGGCCCAGCAGGCAGCGACTGAGGCGCAGCGGCATCTGGCGATGCTTGGAAGAATCCGGATGTTGCTTTTCCTTTCTTTGATTGTTCCCAGTCAGTAGCTTCAGGATTGTAGGTGTTGCTGATGATCGTGAAGCTGCTGTTGTTGGTGTCAGGTCTGGGATCTCGTGTATGATGTGAGCTGTGGTTCTGGGGGGCTGGTGCAACACTGCTGCGTTTTGGAAGACTGGGTTGGGACCTAGTTAGTTTTTGCCAAAACATGGCATTCGGAGTCTATCTAGCTTCTCAAGGCAGGTTTGACGCCGCAGCATAGGACTTGGTTTTGGAGCTGATTTAATACAGCTGACGACATGGAGGAGCAATCCTTCGCTTTGTGACTGCCTCCAACTCAGGAAGAGCTTGACAACTACTCTGGACCAGGCCGAGGACTGTGAGGGGCGTGGTTCGGACTACAGTGGGCTTGCAATGTCGTTCATGAATGAAACGGTTGAGTTGGGCATGTCAGTCCATGTCTTCCACGAAAGTGACACTCTTCTTGACATGCTTGCAGATGCGGTTCAATATATTAGCCGAGCATCCCCGGCGGGATGGCGCCCCGCTATGTCTCGGCCGACACACCGGTGGAGCACGTCCGGGTCTACGTCGATGGCTTGCAGGGCGAAATGCGTTCCCGGGCTTTGCGCGCAGCTGAAAGGATAAACAAGCGACCTCCGACACTGGGCAAGCTGGATGCAGAGCTCAATGCAGTCGCCGATGAACTCGGGGATGAAGCGATCGTTGAGGTGACGGCGGGCCCGCGGAAAGGTATAATATGCGTCACCCTCCGCCCAGAGCATGGTGGCCACCTCACTGCAGGGGCTGGACGGGGTGGCCGGGACGTGATGTTGCCCGGATCCGCTTTGTCCTTCAAGCTCGACGGCACGCCGGCTGCTGCAAACGGCCCACCTCCCCTTCGGGTTTCCGCCCAAGGCGAGTGGAATCTGGGGCAAGATGGATTGGGCTGCTGCCTGACGGTTGCGCCCCTGTTCGGGACTGGCGCATGGCGCCTCCTCCCCAGCGTCGAAATGGGTGCTGGTCTTGGCGGGCTCTTCGGCCTCATACGCCCGGGATCTCAGCAGAGCTATCTCCAGGTGCCCAGATTCCGATGAACTTTGGAAGAGCTTTTGTGTGTTTTTGTTGTTTGCAACACCCCGGCCTTTGTGGCTAAATTTCCAAACCTCCTCATAACTTCCTGGCAATCTAAACCTTCACCTCGAAAGCTAGAAAAGCATAACACGGTTCGCACCCCGAACCCAACAACCCAAGCACCTCTAAATCGGAGGCTATCCGAACCTTCTTGACATGTGTATGTGAGTGTACAAAAGTGTCCCGGCTCCTGTATCTGTATACATCATTGTACAAATATGAGCGCGTGCATACATGCAGCTCCATTCGTCCATCCATCAATCCATGCGTGCATGCATGTACTTGCGCGTGCGCGCGCACGTGTGTGTGTGTGTGTGTGCCTACGCCTACGCACATGTGCACGTAGATGCATCTGCTGTTGCTGAGGTATGTGTAGACATTTTGTTGCATGCAGACCTCTTGGCATATTATGTTTCATTACAGCAGCTGTTCACTGCATGCATATTCGATATGTTCGTGCAGCATGATATACATGGTCTAACCCTCGAATCATCACTACAAGACAAACTTATCGCACCTGAACTATCGTCGAGTTTACAGCGAGTGAACCCCAGGTCTGCTTGACAGATCCACTTGGGAGGCACAAGACTCGGTTGCGAGCTTCCTCTCGGGACCTGCGACTGCAAGATGCATCGCTCCTAGACGTGCCACTGCAGTCTTCGAAGGCATCGGTGTCCCATCAGTTTTTGAGCCTCCGCCTTTTGGAAGTGTTGCGAATCGAAACCGTGGAAGGTGTCCTAACTCTTGCCTTGCGGTGCATGACGCTTTAGTGAGAGCTATTGGGCGGTCTGTTTGTTGTCTGTGCCTGTCACGCATTGCAATGAAGGTTTGTCGCGTTGGCAGTAGCCATTGTTGTAGCAGTAGCAGTAGCAGCACTAGGGGCGGAGGGCGGAACCGCTTGAACAGGCGCAAATCCTGCGACCGACTGTAAGGCATCGCAGTGTCAATCCACATTGCTCGAATAAACAGTGAATCAGGATTCGAGCCAAATTCCGAAACACTTAGCAGCGGTATCAGGGTTGCCCGGCAAAATGATATCTTTTCTACTAAGGGGGTAGGCGACAATCGCATAAATAGGCAGAATCAACGGGTTCACCGGTGTGAAGAGCCCAGGAACAGCTACGGACAGGAAGATGATGGTGGTCAGCTGGGAGCATCCTGTGAAGTTGCCGGCCTCCTCGGCGACGTCCAGGCACACCCAAGGATGTTGAAGGTCGTGGGTGGTTGAGCACCTTGGATCCCAATGACAAAGATGGGAACCCACGCTTAACTGAAAAGCCTTGGTTCCGTTGTCTCTGATTCTCTTTCTCAGCTCTTACGTCGATCACACGAACGGTCAAAGTCAAGGATGCACTCCTGTCGTCGAGGGGAGGATGTTGGGTGCAGGCTTATCTCCGGCTGCTCATTTCTGACCGAAGCCATGGGCCGCATGAAACTGTCTGCGAGCTGCATGAGCTGCAGAGCTCGGAGGGCGCGTGGCCCTGGCACAGGTCGCGCGCGCTGAAGCGGCCTGGGCTCGCTGGGGCAGCGGCCTGGGCGCTGCCTGGCAGGTGCACGGGATGTCGGCTCCACCCGAAACGCTTCGGATAACAGCCCTGCCCACCCCACCCCCCCCAAACTCTTGGATCGAGTTAACACGACCCTATCGATCTTCAGGGTTCAGTGCCTTTGGTGTTTCAACTCCCCATGTTTCCAAACACTTCAACGATCCATGCAGGTCTCTGCGAGTGCAGCCCTGGCCTCATCACTCAACGCAGCCACCATTCCTTGGGAGGAGCTGTTCAGTTCAATCGAAAAGAAAGTGCACCACAGAGTCCTCATCCCACCTGAAACCTGAAACCCTCCACAGCCCAAGCCCAAACTGTGAAACGCTCTCCTTTGGGGAAGGAGCGGCTCTTCCTGGGAGGCGTGACAGGCCAAGGGCCTGGGGAGACTTCGAACCGACATACGGGGGGAACAGGGCGCTTTAAGACTCTATAGAGGAGTTCATGGGGGAAGAGCCTTCTTTCCCAGATCTGTAATCGCAACTGCCAGAGCTATCCGCAAGCCCAGTGCTGCGCTGCAAAAGCCCAAAAGAGCTCTGCAAGGCCTCCAGCTGCCTAGCTCTTGCACTTTGTGCTAGACGTGCTGAGGAAAGACTTCTTGGCTTCGGACCTCACGGATTGGGCCCGGCCAAACGCAAGGAGCGGGAAACAGAGGCGCCATGTTTCGAAGGTTCAAGATGGTTCAAAGATCGGAGCTTTGGGCTCTCCGGTCTTGGGTGTTCATGGCTTCGGGTCAAGCAAGTCAGTTTGTGTGAACTTGTTGTATGCCTTTCGCACGCCTCCCCTGTGCGCCGGGGTTCAGAGTTTTGAATCCCCGGACTGGAGACTCAGCAGGGTCGGAGAGCAAGGCCCACGTGTGACCTTCGCTTCCCTTCATCCTCAACCGGGACAACCGACCAATCCCCAATGCCTAACCCACCCTACACCGACCCAGGCGCCGCGATTTGGCCTGGTGAACGGCTTGGGAGGGCTCAGGAGCAATGGGTGTTATGGTTGTAAGGGGCTCAGGGTTTGCGAGTTGCGGCAGGTCTTTGGTCTAGATTGGGGTTTGGGCTTTTAGAACCTACCCGAGTAATTGGGATTGGGATGGATTGGGGCTTATGCCGACAGCTGTGGGCAAGGGCTCCGGCCACCGTGCCAGGGCTGCAAAGGAAAAAGCTCATGAGAATTTGGAACGAATCTTCCGCCACGTCCCACGGCACAGTTGCTGCTTGAAGAAGATACGTAGTGACTGTACAGGTGGCAGCAAGCAGAACAACACCAAGACTACGGAAAGAGCAGCATTTTGCAAACAGAAGAAGGGTTGCGGTCCGTGGTAGGAGAAAGAACAGTGGAAAGTGTCATCATCAACCATCATCATCATCATCATCATCATTGTCGAAGCTGTTCGCAGCAGCAACAGAAGCAGTGACCCCTGCAACACCTTTGAACTTGGATCGTGTGCATCAGTTCCCGCATTCACGTAAGAAGGAACGCAGGGTCCCCGGAAGGTTCCGAGGAGTATTTGCTCCTAACCGTCGTTTTTCAAACGTCGCTGAATTGCCCAATGCAAAGTTCGAATTGTGTGCAATGCGCCAGACACATATCCCACGACGTCCATGGCGGGTTCTACTATGCGCAACAGCTGAGTGCAGATTAATTTTCATAGCCGGCCAAATACCCATGATGACGACGGCTGCGGGCTGTGCTCTGACGATTCACCATCCCATGAGTAGAAGCGAAAGCCAGAGCTCAGCATACACGCAGTGATGATAGTGATGATGCAGATGATGACTTGGATATGTTTCGTAAGCATAGCGCTGAGGTTGCATGATCTTTGAGTCTGCTGCGGCAGCAGGACCTATACTACTTCGGAGCCCACCCGAATCGAGACTGGTCAGACCACATTCCTTGGCGGGGACACGCGTGCCAGCGTCGAGGGTCGGGAGGGCCTTGGGCTTCGGATCGTCGGGGAAGGGCTGATCTTCGCAGACACCGAGTTTCTTTCGATGCTTGCGTTCAAGCTCCAATGATTTAATTGCTTCCCGGGAAGGTTCCATGCGGTGGCCGGTGCCATTGGGTTTCGGGTCCAAGCCTTAGGACCCCGGAACATCCAGACGGGCTACACAGTGGGGCTGCAGTCGGAGACCATTTCGGTGCTCACATGTTCAAGCTCGGTCCAAAGTCATTGGTGTCTGCACACTTTGATACTCCAATGACTACTTTCGGCCACATCGCAGCTTGAAGGTATGCTTCAGGAAACCCAAGGACAGCCTTGGACAAGCAACTGATGATTAATGGAGGTGCTATCGTGGTTGGTTCATGAAGATGCTTTCTATTCGTTCCTACGGCAGCTGTTCGAAGTCCTGCCACGCTCAAGGCTCCATGTCTTCGTCTTCGGGTCGGCCGGCGTTCTGCTGGAGCGCATGCCGCTCGCTTTTGTTCTTTTGTTCGCCGCTTCCGGCCGTTTCGAGGGCATTCGATTGGTTGTCTGCAAGGCTTCGAAACACCGTGAGAAGGAAGCTCACCAAGGTAGAAGCCCGACGGCGGGGCAGCTGTTGCCGATCCCACGTGTGACCACGTGATACAGCATGAACATGCCACTATCTGCATGATTGTTGGGAGCGTTTATGCGAACACGAAATTCGGTATCCAGAACCCGAACAAGGAAAGCCATTGTCATGGTTCAGCGATCCTTCCAGGCATCGTTGGCACCGCACTTTTTTCAGAAGTCCATTGTGCAAGCGGTGTGAAAGTTCGCAATAGAGACGGGATTAGCTCGGATAGACTCGACAAATTGAGCTGCATCACCTGCTTTCCATCGAATTTAGTATATTTAGTCGGTTCCTAGTAGTCTGGTGCTTCTGGCCTTTTCCTTCCGTACGCTGATCTCCGGCGCCTGTATACCCCGAATCCTTGAACACATCCTGAAGCTTTATGATCCCCCATCCTGGAGCCTCCAAAGTTAGTCAGGGCTCTAATCTCGCACTCGGAGCCCTACAGCCGTTGACGCTAAACCCCGACTAATGGCCATGCTTAGCGTTATTCTTGCTCAGACTTTGTGTATGGGATGTTTTTGGATACTAAGGCAGACCTCGAAGGCTTCGGACGTCCTCCGCAACACACGGGCAACTTTGGGAATGGGCCTGGGCTGTCCCCTCCCTGGAGGTGCTTTGTTGTCGAGGGTGAGAGGGGGGATAAAGATGAAGTCAGGATTGCATCGTAATCCGTCTGAGACATGACTTCAAGCTTCGATAGTTCCATACTTGAGCAAGAATGCAGGCTGTCGGACTTGATGGCTAAGGGTGGATGGCTGTAATGTAAAGATCGAACTTGCGCTTGGTTCTGAGTCGGCTGCTTTTGATTTGGACCGGGGATAGTTACTTGTTTTCCGGGTGTGGGGTTGGTATTTCTTAGTTTTGCAACTGGAGCCTTTGAGTTTTCGGTCAAAGTTGTTGGAACATTCCAGCTTGAGAGACAGTGCTTGTCGGCATTCAGGCTGCCTGGTACAAGTACTGTGAATCGCTTCTATGTCTGCAGAGGGCTGGTTGATACTTTGGCTTAGGTTTGGGCTCCCTGAAGGAGGACACATTGCCGCCACCTTCAGCCAGCCAGTGCAAGCCGTGAGAGGGGATGTTGTGCAGGCTTTTCAGCTGTCCGTGTCTCTGAACAACTTGCTTTGAGAGCTCTCCCGCTTCCATGGCAGGAAAAGCTGTTGGCTGCTCTACTGTACAGGTCTGTGTGTTTAGCAGACCGCTGGGCTTCCAGATGCAGGCATGCGACTCACAGACTCTAATCAGCCCACCTGCTGTGTATGTTGCAGCCTGTTGCTGTACATCAGCAAGGCAGCAGTCTTATCTTAAGACTTGCAAGCAATCTACATACTGATACTGAAATCTTCAGAGACGCATCTGCTTCCACATACATGCGTGAGGAAGCTACCGAACAAGTTTTCAGGGATGGCGCGTCGTAATTACAGCTTTGCAAGCAGGCGAGGGCCCTGAAAATTAGTGAACACTGGCTTCGCCGCCTCCGAACACCCAATCCAAACCACACCAAGCACCGGTGTTTGCAAAGTTCAATGGCTGAAGCCGAGGCCCAACATGAAACCGTTCAGGTGCTGTCCTGACTGCAGACAGGTCAGAGACCAAACAAGCGAAGATGGATTTCCATGAGGTTTTTCGCGACAGACCAGCACCCAGAGCCACAGAGTTCCTTTCGGAAGATCGGTGTTCCCAAGCGGCCGTGAACGTCCTGAGACAAGTTTCGCTGAGTACAGGCAGTCATGGCTGCTGACTACGACTCTTTGGGAACAAGCCTTTAGCCGGAAGCACATTCCCCGAATCGACTTGGCCCATACATGTGTCTTGTCTTATGGTAGTGTCCCCAACCACTGTTTGGGATAAGCCGTCCTTGAAACCATTGCAGGCACCAAAACACCCAAGCGCGGATTTGTTTCCTATGCATGCATTTCGGCGAGGATCGGCGCAACGATGCGCGAGTCGAGGAGCCTGAACATCAGTAGGGCTGGGTGTGTAAACGGACTCCGAGTCAAAGTTTCCACGGCTACTGCGTCCCACCACCTGCGGATCGAGTGTTCCGGCAGGAGGATTCTTGTTTGTTTAGTTCTCATGCTTAGTCTTGGGCTTCCTTTCCATCTGCAGGACCTGCAAGGGGAGCTCTCCCGGCTGGAGGAGATCTGCCAGCAGGAGCCAAGATCTGTCCCAATGTGGAGTTTCCAGCAGACTTCAGTAATATTGGCAGTTCGCAGTGGAAAGAATCGGGAGGCAGATCTGTAGCAAGCCAGACGGTTTAGCCGTACACTTGGGATTTGTCAGTGGGCACAAGGATGCACATGCGCAGACAATAGATTCGTCAGCCTTGTAAGCCTTCGGATGGAAGGAGAGGACTGCCAGCTCCGACGCCACTCGGGCCTACCAGGCCGCGCTATGGAGAGACGTGGTGCAAGGTTTTGGAAAGGTTGCTGTGCAAGGCAGGTTGCTGAGGACGGCTCCTGCCCAAGTAGGGTGTTGCATGTGGTTGTGGAGGCCGGGCGAAGGGTTTTCTAGAAAGAGCTCTCGCTAGGTCTGAAATCTAGAGATCTTTGGTCAGTTGGATTCGAGGTCTTCCATCCAAACTCTGCTTCCCTTGCTGAGCCAAGTGTTGAAGTTACAGCCGGCTGTTGGGATTTGAGCGCTGGGGTCTCCGTGCTAAGCTCTCACAAGGAAACCAAAGCTTTCCGTCCCCGCATTGAACTGATGATCCCTTCCTCCCTGAAGGATCTCCGGAGTGCAAGTCGCACACTCTGCGCCCGATACGGCATCGCCTGGGACGAGGAGGCCAGCCGCGTGCAGTCGTGCAGCATGCCCAGCAATGCACGGTAGCCCTCGTCGCGGCTGCATTGCGTCTCGTGCAAACTGAGGCCAACGGTGCCTTGATCCTGTCGAGCATTGTGACATGGCCAGAATTTGGAAGGGTGCTGCAAGGCTGCAAGCTGTCCCGATCCCACTTTCGCATCTGCAGTGCGATAACTCGATCCCAGAGCAGGTCAAACAATGCGAACTGTTCCATGATGAAGGATGATGATGACCATGACGATGATGAGGGTACTGAGACAAACAGAAGGAATAATGCCACACCGTGCCGTGTTTACGTAAGGAACAAGAGCTGCAACGGCTTCAGTCGGCGGATAGAGACCAAGAGCAGGAGAGACGGGACCGAGCCCCAGTGGGTTTGCAGATGGTTGCTTGCGGGTTGTTGCTTCGTCTTTGCAGTTTAGTTGTCAAGGTGATGTGCGATACCCAATCTAGTTTGACGGCGGTTGTCTGTTTTGCAGCTTGCATTGGACAACGTGTAGGCGCAATTGTCGAACGAGAGAAGGCATATGTTTTGAAGAGACAGGTCAAGGAATGGTGGGGGCCGGGGCTTGTAGTGTGTAGAGCTCGTAGAGCTCATCCGGACCCGGGACCTGCAGCTACGAAAGACGACATGAAGCCGTGTGCCTCAGCGACACTTTAGGTCATTAGGACAAGAATCATACTGGGTTCAGCTTACTCTTTTTCACAGCCTATCCTGCTTCGAGCTTGATTCGATTTGCTCCTGCGACATCGCGTCGACCACATTCTGCGAACAATACCAAATTGAGTTGCTTTGCGGAACCGGCATTCTAATCGCGGAGTTGTGCAGTTGACATGGTGTCTGCCTCAGACCGCAGTGTTGGCGGCAAAATTCATCCAGATTCCAGCCCGATGCTTCTGTTCTTGGTGCAGAAAACTGCTTTCAGAATATGTACCGTAAGAGGCACTCCAGTTTTGAGCCATGTCATCGTATACTTTGGCAACGACAGCTTGTCAGCAGAACCAGATGAATTGGTGTTTCTTGTGTAGCTGGCAGCCCTTCTGCAAGCACTTGACGCCGCATGCCCACATCTCTCGAGAGCATGATGTGACTAGCTGCATCCGCCGCCTAGACTAAGAAGAACATGTGTATCAGAAAGGGTTTTTGAACCTGAGGGCTAAGCACAGTGCACCCAGTATCACATATCCCTTTTCACCCTTTTCCATAGCGTGTTCAGGCCCTGAAGCAGCAGCTGGCACGGCTCCAAGATGAGGCCACGGCACGAGCCGCTGCCAAATTAATAGCTGGTTCTGGCAAAGTATGACGCTGCACGGTTTTTCGCGTGTTCTGTTGGTAGACCACCGTTCACGGGAAAGTTGATGGGTTGCATCAGAGAGCCACAGCTGGCAAAATGGGGCCTGCGTTGCGGAAGCTCAAATCAAATCCGGGTGCTGCTGACCGCACCTCCCGAATCTGTAGGGTTATGGATCGAAAGTTACAAACGAGTGTTTTGCAGGGTGTTCTGTTCACCAAGATTCTCAATTAATTAAACTAAGCATCCTTGCAACAAGTTTCCGTCTCTTCAGGCCAAGATCCTGAACCAAAAGGGGGCCTAAGCGCTCGAGGAATTTGTTCCTCTGTTCCGACTGAGTTGCAGCGGCGTGCCTCCCAAGGCCCAAATTAAGTCAGCCTGCTTTCGCTCCAAAAGATGTACACGCAAACGACGCAGTTGCCAGGTGGGCGCCCTGCACTCATCCAAGCGCGAAGCAGAAGATAGGCGTGCATGAGAGTTGCTTTGAGACGAGAGAGGTCTAGGCCTGTACTTGAAACAGGATCCCCGGGGCATGTGGCAGCAGAGGATTCGCAGATTAGTCTCCCCAACAACTCAAAAAAGGATGTGCAGGCTCCTCCCAAGCTGATGGGTAGAGCTGACGGTGATCGCCAGGGAGGAGCCACATAATCCACACCGGCTATCAATAAATCTGTCGGTCTGTCTGGCTATCTATCTGCCGCGTTCTCAGTCTATCTCAGAACCTGAAACCAAGAGCACTGGCTCGGAAAATGATTCTTAAGTATCGGCAATTACCTGCAGAATTGTTCTGCAACACCGGGCAGCCAGTCGCGAGCCTGAAAGATAGGCTCAGGAGACCCGAGAGGCAGAAATGCCCCCGAAGTAATATAGAGGTCTCTAGACGTATACATTCAAAGATGGGCCGCGCTTCACAGCAAACAAAACAACCGCATCAGC